TTTCCTCCTTTCTGGACTTGGAGGAGCTGGTCCTTGAATGTGGACTAGCTTTCTTGGGCCCCTCTCCCCTTCAGGGCTAAGCAGATCCCTGAAGAGGTCAAAGTCTGTTCTCTTGAAGTCCAGGGTAATGAACTTACTCTGCAGTCTCCTTGTTGCCCTGAGTATCTTGGATTCTAACATTTCATGATCACTGCAGCCAAGGATTCCCTTGAGCTTCACGTTAGCTACCAGCCCCTCCTTGTTGGTGAGAACAAGGTCCAGCATGGCACCCCTTCTCATTGGTTCCTCTACCACCTAGAGAAGGAAATTGTCATCAATGCATTCCAGGAACCTCATGGATTGCTGGTGCCCTACTGGGCCTTCCTTCCAACAGATATCTGGGTGATTGAAGTCCCCCATGAGGACCAGGGTTTGTGAATGTGAAGCCACTCCTATCTGTCTACAGAGGGCCTCACCCGCTCGGTCATCCTGGTCAGGTGGCCTGTAGCAGACCCGCACTATGACATCACCTTCCCCTCCCTTTCCTCTAACCCTGACCTATAAGCTCTCGGTCAACTCCTCATCTATCCCCAGACCAAGCTCCATGGACTCCAGCTGGTCTTTGACATAAAGGGTGACACCCCCTCCTCTTCTCCCCTGTCTGTCTTTCCTAAAGAGCCTATAACCATCTATTCCTATACTCCAGTCATAGGAGCTATCCTACCACATCTCAGTGATGCCTATAACATCATAGCCTTGTAGACGCGCACACATCCCTAACTCCTCTTGTTTGTCCCACATACAGCAAGAATTTTCTTAGACTGATGGCCCTTGGTGTTCATAAGTGCAAATCCTGAAGTGGAGTTATAAACTGATTCTTGCCACTATGTAAAAGTAGATTTTTATTACTAACATTTTAGCAGAATGAAATTGAAGAAGTAGAGAATTATTCGAAACAAGTTGTTTGGGATGATTTTGTAAACTTGGAACCCCAAAAAAGTGCTTCTCAGTCATTAGCCAGAGATACAAATAAATGACCATCCTACCTTCTGCTTGTACTCAGCCAGGAGAAAAATAGCTTTATTGATCTCTTTCTACTAAGTCAATCTTTGACTTGCTGATCCCACTGCACTCATTCAAATACTATGACTCCCTTCAAACCTCATATTTTTTTTCTGATAAGCATCACTTACTTTTATGTTTGAAATACAAACAAGCACTGTGGCCAAGCTTATCTCTGAATACCTTGCAAGTCTAAAGGCCCTAAAGGTTATCAGAGGTACACAGACATTACGCTGGATCTCAGGACAAGGGTAACTTTCAACTTAATGCCTTTTGCATTTTGAGCACCATAAACTATAAAACACGCTAATTTACCTTTCTCAGTGGAAAAAGTCCTAAAATATATTAAAGTAGTTTTACATTTCTGCTACATCTTCAAGAAATCAGTCAGTTTACAGTTTGTGCTGCTGGCTGAAGACAGAGGAGTGGAATTGATGCAGGAGTGGAATAAAGTTCAGAAAGGAGAGGACTTCAGAAAGTTTCAGACTCTCGATGCTGAAATGGGTATGAGAAGCCTGGGAGAGGCATTTAAGCACACACTGATCAGGACAGAAAAGCATATAAAAAGGGAATAAGAAAAGCATTAAATCTGGAAAGTGAGGAACTGTATATTCCTGTAGTTTCCAAAGGAAAAAAAAAAAAAAATCTAAAATATCTGAAATAAAAAACAAAAAAAGAAAAACATCGTTTACAGGTTTTTTGTTAGACAAAAACAAATTCAACTATTTTCTGGCAGTACAGAAAACTCAAATAGACTTGTGAGAGAAATAATTATTTATAGCTATAATATCAGCAGGACGCAAATATTATTGATTTATTAATATCTCAAAATTTAGATGTTGCTTGAATCATCCCAGAATAATACAACAGTAACTATGAGAAAATGCCTGCATCAGGTATCCTTCCTCAAAATATACCATAAAAATGAAAATGAAAAAGATTACAAATCTGCAATTCTGTGTACAAGAGATGAGTGAATCATCTTTATAAAGAGAAAAGGTAAAGTTATTTTATTTATATACATATATAAAAATTTAAATTTTGGACATTAAAAACTCACGCTTTAAGTGTCCTTGGGGTCCAAAAGAAAGGGAGATAAAGTATGCAAAAAGAAAAATGTCAGATCTAAAAAAAAAAATAAATATAAAAGATACTAAAACCTTGGGGTTTTCTTGATTTTATACATGTATTTTGAAAACAAGATGGCATTTATATGGATTAAGATTTCTACGTATCTGAAAAAGCATTTATAAATAAAATACAGTCTGGGGATATTATGTTTTGAACTAAATAAAATGGCTTTGAAAATCCATTATAATTATTCCTTCCAAAATATGTCAAGTAATTTTTTCAGGGAAGTATGGTAAAAAAAGTAATTTCACATTTCAAAAGTGAAGTAACAAAAACCTGCTAAATTTGAGATTATCACACACTTTTCATAACTTTCACAACTTTCACACATTTCTTGAAAAAATTAAACTGGAGAACTGTGAGCTTTTCAGAGTTTTGATGTAAGCAGATACAGAAAAGCACATAAAGCTATGAGGGAAAGGAAAGGAGCATTCATTTCAGCAGAACAGGACAAATGAACCTGTATGATAAGATGTACAAGCTGGTATGCAATTTAGACAAATAAACAAACACCAGGCATATACATTTATAAATACGAAAATTGAATCCCAAAGTTAAAAATCTTCCAAAGTAAAGGTAGAATAAGTACAAGAACGGAAATGTTTAAATAATTATATCTAAAATCTTAAGGGAAAAAAAAATGAAATCAAGAGTTCTGATTGCTTGCATAACAAAGTGAATTTAGAAGAATCAAATTATAAGAAATTCTTATTAATGATCTTGAATGTTTTTTGGTGGTTTTTAAAATGCAGAATATTCAAGCTGTAGAATTTTAATTGTAGAAGAAATTCTGAAGTTTCAATGCAGATGGCATTAAAATAAAATAAAGCAATAGCGTCAAAAAGATTGAGATATCCAAAGCTATGGTTATAAAAGATACAAGCAGCATATTTTTTATTATTATCACTTTTCAAATGTTTCTCTGCCACAAAAAGTTGACTATTGCTCCACGGGACATGTTCAGTTAGTACTTTGGGTTGCTATGGGACCAGAACTTGTAAACCAGACATGCTTCTGCACTAAAGCTACATGCCAGCAGACCTCTGAGAAGTGATGAAGCCCTGCGAACCTGACCTGTTTTCAGAATCAAGCTACTGAATTGCTTATAAGCCAAGGAATAATCTTTCAGATAGTTATCTATTACATGCATTATGCAGAATTCAAGACAAAAATGACCACATAGTTCCACCTTTACTTGCAGCAGGTTAATTTATGAATTGCAGTTTATTTATTATTATTTTGCCTATCAATATATTTTCATATTCAGTAGACTCAGCCACCACTGAGAAAGCAGGGAATACTTACAGTTGTAAAGATTTTAATCATTAGAGTATAAAGGAGGAAAAAGATATTGTTCAGAATTTCAGAAGACAGAATTAAAAATAAAAGAAAGACTGGGATCTTTAAAAGGGAGTTCTAAAGCAAACTACAGAGAAAACTGATCAAGACTCCAGAGCTGGCAGTATACTATAGACCATTGTAGATAACTGTTTAAGTGAAAAAACAGCATAGAAAAATCACATGAGCAGCTTAAATGAGAATTGCCTTTTTATAAAAACACTATTTTCCAGACTGAAAAAAGGAGAGAAAAGAAAGGTGATGAAGAAGAAAATATGTTTCTAGGAGCTGTAGTATTTTATATTGTCCCCTTGCATTGCTACAAAATTAATATTCAGTAGTATTTCTGTCCAACAGAAATGTATTTATTAAACACAAAAAGATAGAGCTACAAAAGTAAGCTAGTATGTGTGTTTTCTGCACCAGAACAATTTTTCGTTCATTTTGTTATGCTGAGTATATTATTATTACATTATTTTATAATGTCTTCACAGCTGAAAAGAGTTATTGCAATTACCAAAACTTTCAGTGAACAATAACTGAAGTATAAAAGGCAGTTACAAGTGAGCAACTTCTAACACCACTTAAAGTCCTCATATTTTTTCATTTATTGTTTTATTTAGATATGTGTAAAGAGGACAGAGGCTTATAAAACACCACTAACAAAAAGTTATTCCTTAAGAGAAAGGGTATCCTTGATTACAGAAAGCAGGTGCTATCACAAATCTCAGGAATCTACTTTAGTGAGTTTTACCAGTCCAAAATCAGTGCTCGCTGATAGCACTGCTATTTACATTTATGCAGCTTACCTTTTCTTGAGATCATTACTTCAAACAAAATCATGCAAGTGTAAGTATCACAGTACAAAAATTGATGAGATATGTACAGTATATGAACTCAAACTTCATCAATAGATAGATGTTAAAACAGAAACAAACTTGAAACACCCTGAGTTATTGAGTGTTTCCTACGTAATCTTGCAGGGCTTGATCCTTGTATTGTAATCACTGATCTGGAATCAAGTATACAATGCTCACTAATGAAGTGTGCAGATGATACAAAGGCTGGTTGAATACTGAGTAATTAAGGGAATGGGTCACTAATAGAGACAGGGCTGTATTCTAGAATGGAGTAATTCTGTAAAGCAATTAGAAAAAATGTGAAACATAGCTAGATACAAGTAAAATGCTTTAAGAATAATCCTAGGCAGGCTGTCTGGATACAACATAACAGGAGTAAGAGGTCAACTGGAATTACTAAGAAACATTACTTGATAATGAGTGGTTCTTATATAAACAAAATTTGAAAACTGGAGAAGGGCAGTGGGAAGAAAAAAAAAGACTAATACTCTAGAAAACATATCACTTTAAGAGGTTAAATTACTTATTTTTTATTACTCATTATCACTTAAACGAACCTATAAGAGGTTCATTTACATTTTATAAAAAAGAAACCCAAGAGATGATAAGTTTATAAACAGCAATTAACAGCACAAGAGAAAGTTGTGGTAAAACTGTGCTGGTCTTAGCATACAAGAACTTATGTCTGAAATTGAGTCAGCCTTGTTCCAATTATATATTAGGTAAGTATTTTTCAATTGGTGGAATAAATGAAACAAAGGATTTCAGAATATTTTCTATAATATGTAAATCTTCGAACAAAAAAAAAAAAAAAAAAGCTTATAAGTAGCCAAAAAAATTACACAACAAATGAAATTATACGGCTTATGTTACATAAAAGGTTAGAAGCACACTGGCATTTGTATCTATGTACCTATGAAAATTCATCCTAGCTCGAAATGTCAAAATATGTGTTGGTAGGTAAAAGCTTCTTATTAAAGAAGAAAACTGTTGGGAAGTGAATTAATTTTTATATCTGTAAATTCACAGTAATGGTGGCAGCAGCCAAACACAACAGACACATTTCTGGAAAGTTTTTCATTTGTGTTGATATTAAAACTATTTCAAAATTGTGGTGTGTAAATTAGTGCACATTTATTTTTACATAACTGAATGTATGTGATTATAGGTAAAAAATATGTCATTCATCATTGTGAATTTGTCAACAATGGAAGTGAAAAAGTTACTTAAAATGTTTCTTCTGATCTAGTTCAAATGATTACTCAAATTTCTGTATGACTAAAAATTTCAACTTTATAATTAAATAATAACGATGTAGAAAATAAATGTTAAATACTTCCTACTTTCCTTAGAGGTAATATCATGATATTAGATTAGCAAAACAAAATTCTAGCCTGGCTAGAATTATCAGGCTAATAGCCAAACCACTTTTTTAAACAAACACCTTTTGTCCTCTCATATGGTGCTGAACTAAACAGCTTTGTGAAGGAACCAAACATTTTAGTCAATAATACAGAAAGTGAGATTACTAATCAACACATAACTCTAAATTTGAGATAATTTACTTACAATTTAGATGAGTGTAAATATCCATGACTAGCTTAACAACTGCAGCTCATTCATGACACAGTAATTTCTAAATAACTGTAATGTATACTACAGACTGTTCATTACTCTTGTAATTAGTATAGCATATTCCATTAGCTTTCCTGTTCAACTGTATTTCTGGAAAAGCAAATACAATTGCTTACCAAGATGGTGGTAACAATTAAAGAGCGATTGGACAGGGAATCTGTGATGTTTGCTGGTTTTCCTTTCTGATTCTCTGTCATGTTAAGGCCACTCAATGGATCCCAAGTTCCAACCTATAAAACAGTAAATTACTGTGTCAATTGTCCACTAGTTACATTTCAGCATCTAGAAAAGAACACTGTAAGGAAAACCAGATTGCTACAGGGGAAAAAAAAAGATTGTTAATATTTATTATTAAACCCTGTTCCATTATTCTCTGTCATTACATTTAAAGTCTGCTGGTTTAAATATGATTCACAATACCTTGAAGTGTGTTTTGTGAAGTGTGACATTAAGAGGAAAAATGATGCACAGAATATCTAAAGCTACTCTGAATATTTAATTTTCCATTTAAATTCTTCAAGATAAACCACATCTGAAAATAACAGTTAGGTGGAAATTTATCTGCAGAGCAGAGAGCATTGTCTCCACAGAAGGATTTACCCTTTTTTGTGATCAGAGAGAACAGCAGAGCAAAAAGACATTTTCAGGAAAATGTACTGGAGAAGACTGGAAGTAGGTTAAGTGTAATAACTTAATTGATTTACAGATAAATGTTCAGTATGTAGCTCTTTTGACATTTTATACCTTGAAATTCTTATTCCAGTAAAGTCAATAGTATTTTTATTTCAGTAAGGAGATCCAGGGTTCTGTTTTAAGGTTGAGGTCAAGGAAAGTCTCATATACTGAGTAATAAATAATGGGGCTTATGATTACATAGTTTATCTGCAATTTCATCACTATACAACTAAAATGGGCAAATAGTAAATACAACTGTCTGGTTTTAGACATCACAATGTTTGTATTACTCTATTATCTAAAAAAAAACCCCACAAATATTTCTTTTTTTGGTTTTAGATAGGATTTTAAATATAATCTCAAATACTAAGCAATCTCTGTAATAAAGAAATTTTGAAACTAAATCTAGGCAGAAATTAAAAAATTCTGTGAGATCTTGTTATCATTCATATTAATGAAATGTAAAATGTGTTTGAAGCAACCAGGAAGCTGCTAAGAGTCCTTTGTATGGTTCTGACCCAATATGGTGAAACAGTAACTTCTAGATTTAGGAACTAGCTACTCAGCAATGTGGCTCTGTCAGAAAGGGTGATGGATTGTGGTTTGGTCAGCAAACCATGAACATCTGCCAACATTAGAGGAGAAGGATGCAAAAGGTAATTCCAGCAAGGGGAGATCATGACCACCAAGTCATTGACTTACTCAAATGATTATCACCTGCTCAAAAAGGACAATAGAAGAAGACAGAGACTGCACACTAATTTGCATTAGAAGAGAGGAAAAAGAACCAATCACTGAAGTGAAGAACGATGAATATGTATTAGTTGAGTGTATAATTATGGAAAATTCTGAGGCCAGGTATGCTGTCTTGGGACAAACAGCCATTAATGCACATCATTGAAACAAAATACCTTTACTTTGGGTATATTAGTGTTTTGTACACCATGTACCTGACCCCGCTTTTGGGACAACTGTTTGATTGTGAATATATATATATATGCAGATATATAAAGATGTATACATAAACACACACAATTATTTTTTTGTAATCTTTCAAACTATTTCTGAGAAACTGTTCATATACTTTTAAGTGATTTGGTGCAGTACAGCTGCCAAGTAAGCTCAGGATGCAATGCAGTATGGGTTAAATAAAGAGTTTCCTTTCTGAAATCGAGAATACAGCAGGACATGAATCAGCAGATGATGCAAAAGAGAAAAAGAGAAAATCGCTCTCTTTTTCCACGATATTCTGTAATACAGAAATCAGTATTTTATCCCTCTTTTTTGCATAACACTAAGTTCCAAGAAGTGACTCCTTTGAACAGCTGTGATTCTTGAATTTTGGCCATTTGGTAGCTCGTAAACTGATGAAAGAATCATGAAGGGAAGAAAGGAGAACATGGGTGCCTCAGAAATATAATTAGAAAATATCACCTAATACATCATTTCAAAGTACTGAAACTAAGCCTTACTTCCAAACCTTTTCTTCATTCACCCTTTGAAACTTTTTCATTTGGTGACTTGAAATTTTTTAGGGAAAAGAAAATGTTCAGCCTGGCAGTTTGGGCACAATTAAGAAACTGTAAAAAGATTGAGAATATTTAGTTGCAATGTTCTGTTAATTATTGCAATCATAGTGTTCGCTTTACTTCAAAGAAAGACCAAACTAGAATGGAATAACAAGGAGTGACAAAGACTGGAATTTGAGCCTGTCCCTGCTGTTTCCTCACATAATTGAAGCTGGACTCATCTCCTCTATGAGATTCAACTTCAGGTATACAAGTAGCACAAATTTCTAAAGGAAGACCATCACCTTATTTGATCAATTTCAAATTCTAAATTCATGAAATCATACACTTTATTCAAGTTCAAGTTCATAATTCAAATTTATCTTGGCAAAAGCTAACACATTGCTAATTAAAATACTTCCTCCCCTACTTTAACATAGACACAGCCTATGCAAATCAATAATTATTAACTGACCAAATTTGGGGTTTATCTAACTACATCCATACAGACTTATGAAGAACTATCAACAGCATTACTTTAAAAAGAATCCTCTGTCTGGATAAATTATCTCATTATTTTTCTAAATGAGGTTAATTGTACTTGCATTGCTATTTTTGTGAATCAAAAATCAAAGAAATGGAACAAAAGTCCGTAAGGCATTCTTTGTATTATCATTAATGAGCTTGAACTCAACAACTTACACCACAGATTCTTATATACTACTGATATGTATAGCTCCCAAATCACGCAAATGTATTCCCAAAGGTGCTTTTTCTAGAGAAAACTGTGCATAAACAGTGAAGCAAATTCATTCTTTCCTATTTGCATAAACACAGTGTTTTAATTTAAAGTAGCCTTTTGAACAGAATAAAATTGCTAATGTGTTTTCACTAGAAATGTTTAAATGCCAAAAATGTAGAAAAAGCAAGTCAAGGTAGTCTACTACATAGAACTGCAATTCAAACTTACAATTTACTTCTACTGCATTACATTTATTCACAACAAACTTTCAAGTTTTCCTAAAAAGTGGAACAAACTGATATTCTAATATAAGCCTTAGAATGTTCACACACTAAATACAGTCACAGGGAGGCTGTCAAGCCCTCAGTCCCCTATTCTTCCATCCAAGTCCCCTAAATGGCTACACTATTCTGGAGTGAGAATGCCAATTTGAACATGTTAACACTTATCATGCAGAGAACAGGACCCAAACCAGGAGATCCCATGAAGCTAACATTGTGCTCTGCAGTGAGACAAGGAACTTCTATGACACAAAGAATTATCTCAGTCAAGAATCAGCTTATTCAAGTTCAAACAATTCCAACAAGAGCTCCTAAAAGACTTATCATTGAATATCATAGAATATTCTGTAACGTGGCAATCGGAGTGCTCCTCAAGCACATGGAATACAGTTTCCCGACTACAGCTGAGTGATTAAAAACTTGCATCCAAGCTTCCATGTATTTAACTATTAGGTAACTATTGGGTTACTGCAGGCCTGCAGAAAGTTTGGACAGGAGTTTTAATTCTTTTACTGTGGCTTTGATAAATCACATTTTCTCTACTTTTAAGTTGGGGGGGGGTTGTTTGTGGGATTTTTTTTAATAAAACACTTTTCTGAAAAAATTCTGAAGTAGTTTGCAGTCTTTTAATTCAGTGACATCATCTGATCTAAGACAATGGTGGCAAGGCAATGTAACTTCTTTATGTAACTGTATGGAACAAGTCCTAAACCTGTAGGCCAGATGAAAAATACATTTTTGTGATACTGTCAGACATCTTACTAAGAGGAAATTAACAGCAAATTCCTATTTTGCCATTCACCTTTACACTGAGGTTTCCAAACAGTCAATCAATTCTATGCCACTTAAAACTCTTAAATAATCTTCACAATATTAACAATTCAACAGCTCAATAGTACAATTTCAAACCTAAATCTCACCAGAAGTGTTTAAAAATAATCCGTGTCACTACTAGAGGACAGAATTTAGCAAATACTAAAAAAAAGGTTGGTTAATGTTCACCCAAATTCAAAATTTATTTGATTCTTTTGGGTTGAAGTATTTTGTGCATTCAGTTTCAAAAAAAAAAAAAAATCAGAAAGATAAGTACGATTGTGCTTATTTGCTTCTTTCCAAAAATATTTCTTTAATTTCATAGAAAAATGCAATTGGCATAGTTTGTGAAGCAATAGTACTCCAGGAAAAAAGTACTTACCAAATAATAAAAATTAAGTAAAAATATCAGACCTGTTAGATCAGAGTGAATAATAATTCAAATTTTGAATACTGAAAACTACAACAGTTAATATGTACAATAAAATTATTTTTTAAACCTTTGATAGATTTATACACTAGAATAATTAGAGATAATTATGATACATTCTTGGACCTTTACCTAGAATAGAGAGTGCTGATTACAGTAATTCATTTATATAGTCTGCTCAGCAATCTAGTAGGAACTTGAGAAGAAGAAAGCTATATTGAACTTTAACTCAAAGTTATAGTCTCTTCTGGAAATATTAGTTGGGGTTTTGTGACATTTAGCAATACATTTGGTATCAGAATAAAGTCTTAAACCTTCTTAAACCTTAGTAAAATTCTCCTTTTTTCAAGGTTATTGGTTATTAACATAACCCATTTCTTAGCTGATCTATAAAGTTAAACATAAATTTAACCTGAAAGACTTTTTCAGACTTTGCAGTCTTTTTTCACTGTATTACAAATTAAGCCTGCAAACAAATAAAAAGTTTATAGGTGAATATTTAGACATAGCTATATAAATTTAATTGCATTATAAGAAGTGGTAGCCGCCTCATCCTATTTATTTTCAAAGATACAGCATGATCCTACTCCTACAGCATATCTAAAGTGCATGTTTCTTCTTTAAAATAAAAATGCAATTTTTCATGTAGTAAAGATCTGATTCTAATCATGTCAATCATAATACACCAAGTTATTTATAAAAGAAAATAAATATCAAAGTTATAGTCTCTTAGTAACACCCAGACTTTCTTCAAAGATAGTACCCTTACCAAGAGCCATCC